TATATATACTTTTTTAATTTTCCTACATTTTTGTATTAAAAAATATATATAAATTAAAATGAATATATATGATAAATAATATATTTTCTTCAAGTTGTATATTAAGAAAAATATACAGTATATAATGCACATATATAAATTATATTAAAATATATATAAAAAAATATATATATATACTTTTATATAATGTAAATAATAATAAAATGCATTTACTGATTCATTTATTTATTTATTTATTTGTTTGTTTGGTCGGTTGGGTGTTTGTTAGGAGTTATTTATGTTATATAATTTTTTATATACAAACTGAGCTAATAGAATGACCTATTTTTTATATTTGTTTAAAACTCACGATTTGCTCAAAAACATTTGTGATTTGTAATTGATGTGATGTTTATGCAGAACTCTCCTTTGTGATTTTAGGGTGATGTGGGTGGTTGCCAGGGTGTTGATATGTGGTTGCTGTTTAAAACTCACGATTTGCTCAAAAACATTTGTGATTTGTAATTGATGTGATGTTTATGCAGAACTCTCCTTTGTGATTTTAGGGTGATGTGGGTGGTTGCCAGGGTGTTGATATGTGGTTGCTAGGGTGTTGCTATGTGGTTGTCAGGGTGTTGCTATGTGGTTGTCAGGGTGTTGCTATGTGGTTGTCAGGCTGTTGCTATGTGGTTGCTAGAGTGTTGCTATGTGGTTGCTAGAGTGTTGCTATGTGGTTGTCAGGGTGTTCCTATGTGGTTGTCAGGGTGTTGCTATGTGGTTGTCAGGGTGTTCCTATGTGGTTGTCAGGGTGTTGCTATGTGGTTGTCAGGGTGTTGCTATGTGGTTGCTAGGGTGTTGCTATGTGGTTGTCAGGGTGTTGCTATGGTGTTCTGAGCGGAACTGATTGATTGATTTAATCTAGTCATTATCTCTTAAGTATGAGCACTAGAAATAGTGATTTGTGACGTATGAGTGTGAGTTTGTGATCAGTGGATTCTGCCGTCTGTCAGTGTTTTCATGTGACACTGAAGCAGTGAAGGCTGTTTTCTGGGCTCTGTGTGAGTTGGTATGTGTCCGCAGATGCCCGCGCTCAACAATACCCCTGATCCCTCCTTTATTAAGATCTCCAGTGTGATTCTGATGATGCTGTAATCAGGTTTATATCCTGGAGAAACGTTACCTGAGGAAACATCTTCATTTCAGCTGCAGTTCTTCCTATTGTGTGTATAGAGTCAGTAGGGATCTGGTGAATTGCATTGCTTATGATACCTATAATCCTTTCTAATTTGCAGCATACAAATTACACTAACTGATACAGTATTGCTCATAATGCAAAGCATAGAGAAAAACATGTTATCAATTGCAAAAAATTTTTATTTTTTAATTATTATTTTGTGATAATAGTTGTTAAATTTTGGCCATTATGTCCCTTCTGAAATCAGTCTTACTGTCATAAATGTTTTGCTTTAGACGAAAACCACTATTTTCTGTTTCAAACTTTCACATAGCATCTTTAGGTTATAATAACATTAAAAATTCAAATCCAGATTTTGATTTTCAAAGATTTATTATAAAATTGTATAATTTTTTCCCCAAAATGCAATAAATCCATGACACGTTTTTTTTTTTTTCTTTCTTTTTTCTTTCTTTTTCAAAATGCAATAAATCCATTGAATCAATATAAAAGTTATTTTTCATATTGAAACTGTTGAAAATACACTACATGGTTAATCCACATATGACAGCCTCTGAACTTGGTCAATACTAATCTTATATACAGGCACTGGATTAAAAAATACATTCAATCAGTCATCGCTCCCAAAATTAATTCAACGGGTCATCTTGTTAATGCTATAAATTAATTACAGCAATAAAAGAAGATTTCATCATGAACAACATCAAATTAAACCACAGAAATTCCAAAATGACATTTCCCTTAAATTCAACGATGGAGATTTACTATTAATCACAGAACCGGCTTTACTGACGAGTCACGAGATGTGCACGACAATCACATGCGATTTATCGTGCAGCCCTAAGTTTGTTTGTTGATAACAAAGTATAAAGTAGATGAGGAAAACTAGGATGCCGGGTGTATTCAAAGCGCCGCCATTACTGTCTAGAGTGCGTGGAATGGTGCGCTGTGATTGGTTGAGCGGAT